TATATAAAGTACACCTCGATGATGTAACCGATACCAAGCTCTCAACCTGAATCGCAATGTGTTTTTTTTTTTTTTTTGTTTGATACAACAACTTTTAGAGAAGCTAATGCGTAAATTTCGGATATTTATTGGTCGCAGCCTTATACGGGTGAATAAGCAGCCCTTATTTGCATTAACTCATACATTTTCTTATTTCAAACAAATGCACGAAATTTTTGGGAATTGACTCGGATCAGGGGAATTTTCGATAACAACACTGATAACAACAGCCTTATGTACAAGCAAGCAAACGAAGCAAACGAGCTTGGCGTTCGCGGTAGCCGAGTGTTGAGAAATGTATGCTACAAGTCTGTAGGTGCCAGGTTCGATCCTCAGTTGGAGCGATTGCCAACATTTTTTTCGTTTTTATTACCTTTATTTTAAATATTTGATTTAACTTTACTTTATTTTATTTTCATTTTTTTTTTTATTTTAAATCACATTTTTTATTTTACTAATAGTTAATTTAAATTTTCCGAGTTTAATTTTATTAAAATTGTCAACAACAACTAACTGAAAAAATTTAAAAAATGTAGAACTAATAAATGACTGAATAAAAAAGAAATAAATTAACATTCTACTGGCCGTGGTACTCGAACCCACGAACTTGCGGCTCGTTAATCCGCATTACTGCCGTGTGTCAAGGCACAATTTTAACCAGATCAACTGCGCTGTTAATCCGGATCAATGCTGCCGTGCGCCTTTGCTTCTACATTTGCCTGTTATCAGATTCTTAAGTGTTGTCCCGCTTTACTTTGGCGCCTAAGCGATTTTGGCCTTTAGACTTTCATTCAACAACACTGGATCCAGGCTCCCTTCCTTTTCGTTCTGTACAGCGCCATTATTGGGGCTTCCTCCATATATGGTTAGTGGCCTTCGTTCTTCCATACGATTTGGTGTCGACATCTAGAATTACTAACTTCGCAGACCGGTGAAGTACTTGGGACATCCGTAGGTCATCAATCTGGTTAATATCCATTCGCAGCAAGCTTATCAGGCAAAACTGCAAGGGCAAGGCAATAAAGAGGCCGGAAGATTCACGATATTTGGCTAAACTTCTACAAGAACATAGAGCAACAATATAGAAAACAACTCTGAATACAACAGGCTGTGAAAAGTTATGTCGAAATATTCCTCAAATATGAACTCTTTCCAGAAGCCTAACGATGACCAGACATCATTATGTAACGAAATGCTGGAGATCCTTATGAGCACACACTTCGCGGGGTGCGCTAACGATACTCTGATACATCGCCCGGTCCTTGCATCAAAATGCTCCTCAACTGTTTAATAAGCGCTTGGACATAAACATGGTTTAAAAGGCTAATTTTAGCAAGGAGGTAAATACCTCTTGGCATACTTCGAGCAAATTTTGGATAAAAAACGCGGCAAAGCGATCCCTGGATCTCATTCGCCTTGACTGCTCTTCTCACAGATTAGTATTAGAGATAATCACCTGACACTGTCCTATGAGCACGCACGGAAAGAGCTGGTGTTACCCAGCTGACGATTTTTATCGCAGCTGCAGATACGAGAACGAGGTGAAGAGTATCGAACTTTATCTCTGTCACTGCCCCGACCAAGCCGAGACGCGGAACCATTTCTCCAACAAGTACATTCTAGATTGCTTCTGTCTCATTTGTGCTATATAAAACACACACGGTGGTTGAATTTTTAAGGGAGCAAATGAATCAAATGCTTCCGCCAGTGGTATCAAAGCGGAGTTTTTAAGCCTACGAATTCCACTGGGCTCTTACACGGTGGTAGCCACTCAAAAGTGACCTAACTTAACCAAACCTAATTTGCTAATTTTGATTTCTAAACTCGCATTAGGAAATAATGAATGGTAAATTGCCTGTGGCTCTCCATTGGCATTTGTGATGTTAATATATCTGCATACATACATACATATGTATGCATAAGCAAAATGAGATATATATATACATATATATATAAAATGTTATCGATAGGCTAAACTCGTACATAAATGCAAAAATAAATTGGTTTAAAATCAACAAATACTACAAACATAGGTACGCCAAAAATATATCATTTTTAATATTCACGCAGGATTATAAATTCAAGCAAAGCAAACATAAATTTTAATGCATGCAAATTGAATATTCATAAGTAGATACGGAATACAAATAAAAGTTATTTATTTATAAACAGAAAATTTGGTTGAATACATTACGCACCAGCGTTCAAGAATGAATTGGTGATTTAATAAGTTTGCTACCATGGCCGGGGAGTTTTTTTTTTTTGCCTGCTGAAGGAAAATTTTCACAAAAATGCTGCGAAATAAATGCAAGAATTATACAAAGGATAAATAAAACAAAATAAAATAGCACCCATAACTCCATTAGACTAGGCCAGAAAGAGTCGTGTTCTTAGTTGGAAATGCCTAATCGAGCCTTGGGGAGTATGAATGACAAAATAGTAGTAAGACGCTCCTGTCGTAGTACTTTCGGCAGCACTGATTGGCACTACCACCGTTTGTCAGTTTGGGCGGAGACCAAAAAGCTTCTCCATTGCCATTCTTCTAAGCGAATTTACGCCAGTTGCTCACTTGGTCCTTCCATTTTGTTCGTGGGCGCCCATGATGAGAGATTTGAAGAGCGTGAGTTTTATCCGTCGAGAAACGGTTCTGACTTTCTATAGCCTACCGAGCCCAAAATAGCATCTGTTGGCAAAAGTTATTCTTCGCTTAATCTACAGGCTGATGTTCTTGGTGGTGTTTATGCTGGATCCTTAATAGACAAAGTCGCAGTGAGGTTCTTTCCAACTTGGACGGAGCTAAAGATTGTGCTCAACGTCACTCTACATGGCCGTATTAGTTTTGAGTGGAATCGCTCCCGAGACAGTGCTGAAGTCGTTAACATCGAGAGTTAAAGTTCTTATTCCCAGGGCTAAAGTTCTTTCCCTTCTGAATGGAATTATCGCTGATTTTGTTCCATATCCATACATCAATTACTGTTATCCTAAAATTGTATGTAAGTTGGTTCATTTGTAGCCTAAGTGGAAAGTTTAAACTATTAAAAAAAAGGTGGTGAGGTTGAACAAAAGCCATTTGTAGATTGGCTATCACAAATTGATACCACCGTTTGGGCATTATTTCGTCGAGGTTTTAAAAACTATGCCTAAAAAAAGTTTTGATTACAATTTTAATATACACGCCCAGAACTCTGAAATAATGACATGGCATGGGGCGATTATTTACGAGCAACCCTAATAGTAGCGAACTAAGGTTCGTTATTAGTTATTTAACAGCCATACCGTTATATTGTTATTAAAATTTGTCGTTACCATTGCAAATGCCATTGCTATTGCCATTACCATTATTCTTACCATTACAATTATTATTACAATTATCATTACTATTACCATTTCCATGACCATCACTATTACCGTTACCATTACCATTACAATTATCAATACCATTGTGATTTGGTTTATCGTTCCCGTTACCATTACCATTACTATTACCACCACCAAATACTTTATCATTACTATTAGCACTATCATTACCATTACCATTGTGATTTACTTTACCGCTATCATTACCATTACCCTTAAGATTACCATTACCCTTAAGATTACCACTACCCTTAAGATTACCATTACCCTTACGATTACCATTACTCTTACCACTACCATAACCATTATCATTACCGTTATCGTTACCATTATCATTACCATTACCACAACTATATCCATAACCGAACTCATATCATAACCATTACCGTTAGCATTACCATTTCCTTTACCATTATTAATATTTTATCTGTTTCCATCTGCAGCAAGATTTGTAATCTGAATTTATATCCATCGATAGTTTGTGTGCCAGTCCTTACTTATGTGGACCGTAATTTTTTTATTTACTTACAGATGTCCATGAAAATGTATGCAGGGTTTTGCCTATTAGGAAAACCACACCGTCGCTTTACCCACACTGCAACTATGTAGAGCAGCATTGTTGATGATTAAATTGCATTCCAATAAATAGACGAACGGAGCAAAAACTCTGCGGCTGAGAAAATTTTCTAGAATTAGACAACTAAAACCATAGCAAGAGAAACTAATAAAAGAAAAGCAGAGCTACGGTTATAGGTAGCAGAAAAACATTGCAATTTACAATCAATATTGTGACAATCGCAATTTGTCAAATACAGTGGCAGCAACAAAAACAGCAATCACAACGGCAAGCGTAGTGACATGACAGGACAACATTTTAATTGAAAATCAACAGCAAAAGCAACGCAGGAGAAGCGGGAGCAAAAAAAAACAAAAACAAAAAGAGGAAATTCAAGCTACAAAATCTCTCACACTGCATGCACGTCGCTTGCAACATATTGAGGGCGCATAACTTGGCATTTTTGTGAGCTGAGTAAATGCTCAGCATCATACACCACCGAGCAGAGTCCTTGGTCGCGCATTAAGCTTGCACTCGCATGACTCACCACCACAGTTACGGTGCTTTTATCAACTATTGTTGTTTTGGCTCAAGAGATCGCTGTGTGTGGCAGAGTAGCGGCCAACAACAGAAAACTACAACTATCACTACCAAGTAACAGCACTGCACTGCTACAAGCTGTAACAGTGGCCCAACCCCACCACACCACACAACGGCCACCGGCACTACGACCTCGATGGGTAAGACGTGCCCAACGCCGAGCCTGAATTCGAGTATCTCGAATTCTGTAATAACTACTGCGAGTAGCAACTATAATCAGAGTCACAGCAGTAACCATCATCACCAGCATAAGCATCAGCATCAGCAACAACAGCAACAACAGCAACAGCATCATTATACGGTGCCGTTGCCACCACCACCACCGCCGCAACCACTCCAATCGCAGCCACAACAACATTTTCCACAGAAATACATGAATTCGAAGCGTAAACATGCCAACAATTACCACAACATGCTGATGCATCCGGGTGCCCATTTGGATCACAACAATTACTTGCATTTAAATTCGTTGTGGTCCATTTGGTATGGCGTTTTGCTGACGCTATTCCAAGGCTATTTAGCCGTACATGGTGCCTATCGGTTCCTTGGTAAGTAACTTAATATACGTACGTACGTACACACATACATGCACACATGGTACTAACATAACAATATTGTGAATTTATGTAGGTAGGTATGATTACATCTAAAATTTGGTAGTAATTAAGAATAGTATCATAAAGTGGAAGAGTGATAATCCCTACAGTGACTCAAAAAAGTGGTCCTATAGTGATTTATTTTTTTTTTACATATTCGCAATGTTTTTTAGGTTAACCAAAACTTTTTACATAAATCGAAGTCCAAACTTTACATATACAAAATTTCGTAAAATTCACCAAATTGTCACCAAAATTTTGAACTTCTTAATTCGAATTTCTAGATTAGTTTTGGGTATGCTGTTTTTTAGCCCACACAATTTTAGTCTGATAACGTGCAATTTTTAATAGGTCTTGATTTGTAATATTTTTTTTGCTGGCTTCTTTTGCACTTTTTTCCATATTAAGGTGAATTTCTTATGCAATAAAATGCGCAGGACCGTTCGCTAAACAATTTCAAAAAATCAACACCAGATTTTATAAATTACACTTGTTATATTTATATCCGCTTATTCAAAAATTTTCATAAGATTCTGAAAAAAAAGTTCGAAATTTTAATGAAGATTTGTTGAATTTTTCTACTAAATATTAAATTCTGAAACTTTGATTTATACGTTTTTGGTTCAAGCATGATCAAAATTAAAAAAATTACAAAAAAAATTTCAAATTTAAAAACAATAAAAAAAATCAACATGTGAACACTTATTTCAGTCACTGTTTACGTATGACATGTCCATAACCGTACATGCATAATAATATGTAAATTTTCGCTTACACAATATGTTAGTGTTTGGCCGAGCTTTTCCTCCGATTTGTGGCATGCGCCTTGATGTTGTCAGTTTTACGCCGACTCCGAACGGCGATTGTATTTTTATGAGAAACTGTTTTTCATAGCAGAATACACTCGGAGGTTTGTCGTTATTAGAAAAAACTTTTTTGTTGTTTTTTTTTTTTGGTCGGAAACTGGGCTTCACCCAGGCCCACAATAAAATATATCATTTAACTTATCATTTAAATTTATTTTGGATAATCAAACTCGCTTCAAAAGCATTTTAGAAATAAACTCATAATAAGCTACTTAATTGAACTTGTCGATAAATTGATTTAGAATTTAAAAAATGGCAATAGTTCGATTAACTTATTGCTTTTAATTTTATTTGAACAGGTGGCAATCTTCTTAAAACAATATGGTAGAAATAAAGCTTTAAAATTTCTAAAGAGGTGGCAACCCTATTCAAAAATATTTTAAAATTAAAGTTTTTTAGCATTCTATAAAAATATTTCGCTTAGTATGCCTATTAATTAATTTCGAATTTCTTAACAGGTGGCAACCTTGTCACAAATATTTTCGAACAGCTCTTTTTGACATCTCGCATTTGATACGCATATTTAAGCATTTCATTTCACTTGCAAATTAAAATGATTTTTACTACTTTTTGAACAGGTGGCCGCCCTATGCAAAAATATTTTCTAAATAAATCGCGTTTGAATAGCGTTTGTTCGGCACCCACATTATTTAGCTTAATACTAACTTTTCTGTACGAAATCCTGTGCCGAATTTCCTGGAAACACGTGCAGCCGTTTTAGCGTGAAAGCGCAACAAGCATACTCACCAACTCACTCAAACCTTCACATTTTTAATATTAGTAGGATTTATATAAAAGTAGTTAGGATTTGTAGAAGGAAAATTATAAATCTTTTTTTTTGTTGTTAAACTTATATATAGTGCGTTTTTATTCCAATTGCTGGGAATCTCAATATTTTATAACAGCGCTTACATGCGAGTATCTCTCTGCCACCAACCCACGCACTAAAAAATTATTGACTTGTCAACCATGCTAGCTTATTAGAGCCTTAATTATCTCAACATGACAAGGCAACAAATTACATTTGTTCAAGAAAAAATTTTCTAATAAAAAAACGAACTAAAAAAGCTCGACACATAATTAGTATATATTCCATGTAAACTCATTTATGTAACAGTGATTTTTTTATTTTCTTTTTTTCCATATCTATGATGTTTTCCTGCTATTATATGTGTAACATCGCCATTACTATCACATCGCGCTGTCATCATTAACCATTCCCTTTCGCCAGGCTGCTCGCTGATATCGTGGAAAATCGAGCCGGTAGCTGAATTGAATCTACAAATTGTGCTTTCCGGTGTAGTCTTCATTTTGCTGCCGTTTTTCTTTACTTCAGCTGTTTTTAAGGTGAGTAAATATTTCACTATTTTTTTTTCTTTATATCAAGCAATGAGAATTTTATAAAATAAAAAATATGCTGCATTTTACGTGTTTTGTCTGCTATGCTGCTTATGTGGTTGCTTTGCTGGAAGCAATCCTTTTTCCACATTTTTTGTTACATATGATGTGCATATACATATGTATTATTTTAAGTTATGTCGGTTTTTGTGTTGAACTAGCTGATGCAGAATTAATATTCCGTATCAGGTAGAATTATGCGTTCATTTATACTCTGAATTTTTCAAGCCAACGAAAGCATTCATTTCTTCAGCGCGAAACATAAGGATGTCTATGACAAACTTTCTTAGCCCATCATCGTGAGTTCTTAGATCAATCCTACATTTTATTCAGGTTCTTCAACTACATTTTGCTTCCCAGGAGTATTACTTTAGAATTGGGGAGCCACTCGTGCAGAACGTATTGAATTAATTTGCCTATAACTTCTATAAACTATATACACAATGATTCAGAAGCACCTTATTAATCTTGCCGCTTGGGGTACTGGAAGCCCAGAAGAAGAAGAAGAAGAAGAAGAAGACTTCTTATGTCCATTTTCGGATTTGTATCTCTCGGGCTATACTCCTTTGTCGGGCAGTTAAGGCAAAGGTTTAAGTACAACAAAGGGGTGCATTAAATAAATCATACCTTTCAGTTCAGTAATGGCCGGAAATTTTATAGAGAGTTTTCGATGCTCTAAATTTTTTCGATTACTGCGATAATAGTCATCCGACGTAAAGCCAATTTTGTGGTCGTGTATCTCATACAAGGCAACAGTAATAATTCTACAACATTTCGAAGTTGGTTAAGTCTAATTTGGAAAAGATGAGCTGTGGATCTTTTATTTCCTTAAATTAGAATTTTCATACCTTGCCTCTAAAGCGGCTGGGTTATCAAAGCCGAATGGTTGCACATACGTACTAATACCCTTCAGAACCCACCCCTGGCCCGCGAGTGATTCAAAAAATGTAGAAAATACTTTTTTTTTTAATAGCGCTTGCCCCTCTTTAGGCAAGGGTAGAGCTCTGAGTGTATTTCTAATTTAGAAAACCTTATAGAAAATGGCGTAAAATTGTGGCAAAGATGTGCGCGCCAAATATTTTTTTTTTTTGCAACTATCATGGATATCCTTACAAATTTATATGCCTAGTAGATACAAATACCTCTATAACCTAGTGGCTTATCATTGATCTCCCTGCTACTAGCTATATGTATGGTTCATTAACACAAGGGCCCTCAGACTGCCTCTTCCGAACTAATAACACTAAACTTTTAAAAAGCTGCAGAACTTGCGGACTGCCGATGCAAAATCTATTAAGCTGTGTGTACATATATTCCATAAATTATTTTATGCGGCTTTTATGAATCCCAAACATTGCCTTGACTAGCTCTAGATGTGTTTGTCTTCTTCCAACGACCGCGTCGCGGGTTTCTGGCACCGAATAGCAGTAAGGACAGCGGTATTTAGTATAAGGTAACTCCTAGGGTGTTAGCTCTAAGCGCCATAACCGGTCGGCTTGTCTGTTAAATATATGTACTAAGATTATCATTGTGAGTAACATTTGTTTTCTAAATTTCTTGGATTGGTAATTTCCTATGAGCCGCGACTAGTCGTTTGACCAACCGTAGCTCATGTGAGTTCTCCCGCTGGGCTGTTTTAAGCAGCCGATTCTCTGGTGTTATCATTTACCTGATAGGAGTTCTCTTTGTATTGACCGGGTAGCTTCTGCTTTGCTTGACAGTCTGTCAGTCTCCTCCCTACTCTGCATCAGTAGCGTGGCAGCGATTTTGGAGAAGGGGCTGCAGGGTAGGGAGTTGATTGTTTTCTTAGGACAAACTGATGAATAACGGCAAACGGATGACGAATAATGACTAACAACTTATGACAATGATTAGTGACTTATAGCTAAGGACAACTGACTTATGAGTAATGAATAATGACTTATGGCAAATAACTTCTGACTATTGAGTAAAGGGTTAGGACTACCGACTAATGATTAACCACTAACAACTATTGACTTACGACTATTGAGAAACAAGCAATGGATTAATGACTTATGACTGACAATTAAAAATTGTGAATTATGTCTAACTACTCTATAGTAATGTGTATTTTGTTATTGACTAACAATTTGGGCCAAATGACTAACGGCTTATGACTTAGAACCTTTAAAGTTGGGACACACAATAACCAGCAGTGACGACTGTGAGTAATATTTCTGAGAGTCAAGTAAATCTTAATTCTCACGCATAGATAATGTGGCTAACAAAAATGAAAAGAGATTTCCATAGAGATCCAAAATTACTTTCATGTGCAAATTGTTTCAGATTTTGATTACACTGTTGGGAAAGTGTCAAGTTTTGAAATGACACAAAAACGCCGAAATACATAAATTTAAGATGGAGTCATAGATAATGTATCTGTAAACCGTTTTCCAGATCAGGTAATTTTTCCAAGATATTTTCTTTTTTTATGAATAGAAAAATTCAAATTTTATTGGATGGAAAAAAGTACATATTTTTGCAAATCTTTTCTTGCGTTTGCAAAAAAAATCAAGCCACAAACAATGAAAATCGATGGATAAATAAAAAAGTTGTCAATAGTCAAATGAGAATACGCAATAATAAAATAGTGCTTTCTTGAAAAATCTCAGCCGTCGAAATAATGGCAGGAAATGTTCATATCGGGCATGGACGTACACGTATGTATATACGCGTACATGGCGTATGAGTAACATTTTCCATCTTAAAGTTTAAGTTAATTTTGTTATTAGAAATGCAAGCTTAAAATGAAAATATCTTGGGAAAACGACATAATCTAGAAAAATGGTTCACAGATCCACAATCTACGACCCAAAATTATGGTTTACGTGTCTGTGCGTGTTTTTTTGTGCCCTTTTTAGGAGCCGCTAAAATCAAGCTGTACAAAATAAAATTAGCTTGAAATAATAATATGAACGCTGCCGTTTGTCTATGGCCTTCTCTGACCAGAGTAAAATTCAAACCCCAATCTTTAAAGCAAAATTTCGCTGCTTGGTGCACAAGCTTTTAAAACTTATTTGCTACTGGGTAGCTATAAAACAAATGGATTCCAGCTTTTTTCGTGGTTTTTGCTAATATACACATGCGCTTTATTTTGCAGTCGCTCTTGTTTACATACATATATGCAAACATTCATTCATACATTTCTCGGGAATGCGTGACTTAATTTCAGAGTAAAATCACACATACATACATTTGTATGTATTGCTCACATGGAAGAGCAACTGTTGCTACGCGCTGATATACTCTCAACAAATGCAACCCGAAGTAATAAAATCAACTGCTGTCATATTGCATAATTAAATTTTTTTTGTGGTGCGCTCAATCAAGTTGTTATTGTTATTGTTTCTGTTAGTTGTGTTGCTTATTTTTCACAACGTACATATGAATGTGCGTCGGCACTAAATTTTCCATGGATTTCTGTGTTTTTATACACAACAAACATTATTATTAAATTTATTCAGCAGCTTTCAGTGCTGATAGTACATAGTAGTATACTTACAAATATATCAACATACATAGCACATAGTATGTATGTACATCGCAAAAAAGGCAATGCAGCTGCCATCCAGCAATCAGAGCAGATCCCTCCTCATTATGTTGCATTATTTTCACTGCCTCGCCACCATTTTGTTTTTGCGGTCCGACAACTGCAATTTTATACAAAGAACAAAGCATTCAGTAAATATGTATACATAGAAGGTACTAGGCACTGAAAGCATAAAAGCTCTGCCGCCGTCTACTAACAGAAAACATGTTAAAGTGCAACAAGAACAAAAGTGGCAAAAATGTGATGGCTGCACACTCGGCCAGCGAGGATACAACTAAAACAGTTGAGGCAGGGTTGGGGGTGCAAATTTTGACTGAACAACACTATCGGGCTGCTCTTCACTAACGGTACTTTAAGTGCGGCATTGCCATACAGTGTCGGTTTTTACCTTTGAATGAGTTTGTACATACATACATACACATTAGTAGGTATGTGTCTGTGCAAGCTACTGATAGCTTTATTTTTGTTTTGCTGCTCTCCTCTGTGTGGCTCCATCGAATATCCGCGCAATGTGCACAGGCTCTGTTGCAGTTGCCGCCGTTGTTGCCGCTTTTTATCAGGATAATAAATGCAATTATGGGTTTTTCATATTCCGCCTTTGTTTATTGTCTTTAGCCTGTCGCCGTGGAGTTGGTTTTGGTGGCACAAGGTTGCAAATATACAGACATACAAATTTTTATGCTCCTATATTTCCTGTAGGGAAAGCTACTAGTTGTGATATGGAATACTACCATTAAAAGTATGGCTACATTAGTAGCAATGCCATTTCTGAGTGGTTCAGGTCCTTTTTTTACATAATTTTTATTTAAGATTTTATTTTAATTTTTTCTTTTTATTTTTTACAAAGAAAAATATTTTTTTTTTTTATTTAATCTAGCATGCCATTCCTGAGAGTTCAAGTCCCCGAGCAGGTCAAATTTTGTGTGTTTGAAATTTAATTAAAAATAAAAATTTTAATTTCTATAATTAAAAATAAATAATTAACTATAATTTTTATCATGCTCAAATATGTAATTTTTATTTAAATTCAAATTATTCAATCTAAACCGCCTCCAGGCGGATTCTAACCTGCTATCTAAGAACCAGTGCCGCAACGTCACATCCACATTTGCTATTAATTGCGTTTTATTTTTAGCTTTGACAATTTAAAGGCAGATGTCGCTGATGGCATACGTTTTTCGGAATTATCTAACTGATGGGTTATCGCCTTAGCCAGTACTAGTTAATGAACCGGTATTTTTACTTACTGATTGTCTTTTCCCTGCGGGTTTGTAACTATAATTGCATGTAATGTTGGGAAGTCAGTGGTGGCGCCTGGCCTTTATAGACAAGCTTTTGGTAGTGAAAAACGGCTACGGGCGTTGGACCTCCATAGTAA